TGCTGAAAGACCTATGTGAACAGCTTAACATACAGTCATTTGTCGATCATACAATATCAGAAGAAGATGTAGTATGATTGCCAATGAGACAACTCTCGAAAAGAGACCAAATGACACAGAAATTAACAACTATAGGACATCGTACGGTAAGATATAATGTATATAACAAATACTTTTGTAATACAAATCCCTGAGGCAACTTTTACCATTCAGGATTTTTTTATATTTTTATTTACACATTGTGTAATATGCTTGTCATGTTTATATGTTATTGACAATACTCATCTTATTGATATGAATACAGAAGTTGATGATCTTGTAACATATGGATTTGAGAAATTCAAAGGTCTTAAAATATGTTCTCACAATGTGAATAGATTGGAATGCAAGTTTAACGAGAATAAATACAATCTAATGTCTACTCCAAGTCTCCCAGATATATTGGTCACTGTTAAACTTTTTTTGGGTGAAAATACTTCTGATAGAGGAATAGACATTCCAGGATATATTTTACAAAGGAACGATACACTAACTAATGGTGGGGGTGGCTGGGTTGCCTATTTAACAGAAACCATTATTTTTCTTTAAAAAAACTGATTTTGAAATAAGCAACATTGAAACTATTTGGTTTGAAGTTCAACCTAGCTATAAGAAATCCTTTTTATTGTGCTTTGTATATAGACCACTCAAGTCACTAGTTAATATTGGTTGGATATATTAATTTGAGGATGGGATTAATGTGGCAATGAAATATGATTCTGACGTAATCCTTATGGGAGATTTTAACATAAATGTTTTACAATCCATACAGATGGTTAAATGATCTAGAAACAGTTAATTAAGGAACCAACCCGAGTAACAAATGAATCAAAAACTTTGAATGACCACATATATGTCAACCACTTAAACATGGCCATAGAGGCTCATGTTTCGAAATATTCTATAAATGATCTTTATCCAAAATGTATGACAATACAAGATAAAATGTATGATAAAAAAACATAATCATTTAACAATTACTTATAGAAATGTTAAGACTTTTAGTAAACAACATTTTTCAAAAGATTTAAAAAGTGCACCTTTTCAACAGATTCTATCTGAAAATTGTCTGTATTGAAATGTTTTACAACATTTTTAATAGCCGTTTAACTAATCATGCCCAAATCATGACAAAGAGAGTCAAGAGAGATAGATCGCCAGAATGGTACAATAAAGACAGTTCACATGCTAGAAAAATGAGAGATAAATATAATTCACTTGGAATCTGGGCACAATATAGATTCTTGAGAAACAGAATAAAACATATGCATCTAAACAGAAATATTATAATAATATATATATATCATAAAAGCCTCAAAAGATTCTTAAGCACTATGGAAATGTATCTAATCCGTGATAACCACATGAATTTATTACAATTGGAGACCATAAAACTACAGAATGATCATAAAGAAATTGCTAATTCATTCAATAATTATTTTACCTCATGTGTTGAAATATTACGGCATAGCAGGGCATCAAGCAATTCTAATTTCAATTCTCTGAAAAACTATGTACAAATGAAATTTTCGCAAAAAGGCACAAAATTCATCATTCCCCCAGTAAAAGTAACAAACTATTTGATGAAATAGACAAATTAAATGTAAAGACCTCTTCTGGTTCTGACAATATTGGTATAACGAATTTAAAACTGAGTGCTTCTTTTATAGCATCTTTCTTAACATCTATTTTTAATCGAATGATTGAAACATATGTTTATCCATGTGTTTTTAAAAATGCCAAGGTTGCTCCTATTTTTAAATCAGGTAAAGAAAATTAGCTGGCAATTACGGACCAATATCTGTGCTGCCAACATTATCAAAATTAATAGACAGACATGTATTTAAACATCTGTATGATTATGTGACTAAGTTTCACATTTTACACCCTTCCCAGTCTGGTTTTAGACCTAACCGTTCATGTCAAACTGCCCTCATTAATATCATTGATAAATGGCTACATGAAATGAATAATTGAAATATTAATTTGGCAGTTCTCCTATATTTTAAAAAAGCTTTTGATGTTGCTGATGATGAGATTGTATGCACAAAACTTGAAATGTGTGGCTTCTAAGACAATACTGTTGATTTTTAAAATCATATCTAAAAGAAGAAACACAGCAAGTCCATATCAGTTCTCAAATTCTGATAAAAAAATTTATGAATTCAAGTGTTCCACGGGGCTCAATATTTGGTCCCATTTTGTTTGTCTTGTACATAAATTATCTTCCATTATATATTAAAAACTGCTATACAGTACAGAGATGATAAAACTATGCATACATCAGGAAAGAGTATTGCTGATCAATTAGAATAACAAGATGATCTCCAATGTGTTGAAAATGGTGTCATGAATATAATATGTTCATAAATTCTGACAAAATTAATTGTATTGTTATAGGTACAAGACAAGGACTGCTTTTCCACCAAGCAGAACCAATTCTAACTTTTGCGAATGGTATTCTTTAAAAATCAACAATTGAAATACTTTTAGGTGTTAGAATTGACTCTAATCTATCATGGACAGGCCATGTTAATTACTTATGTTCATCAATATCATCTCGGCTCTATTTACTCTCTAAGATTAAGAATTTTCTAAATATTGAGTCAAGAAAATAACTTTATAATGGTTATAGTCTTCCACTGATTATTCTTGTATTGTATGGAGTGGTTGTTCTAAAAATGAACTCGTACGAATAATAGAATTGCAAAAAGGGCTGCAAGACTAATTTTATAAGCTGATCCACTTTCAGCATGGGCATCAGCATCACTGTTTAATAAGCTTGAGCGGAAGACAGTAGAGAACAGAATTTCATACCATCAGTCTGTGTTGTTGCTTAAATGTCTTAAGTATAAAGCCCCTGTATATTGAACTGAAAAAATTAGAGAAATGCCAAAAATAAACCATTACTGTCGGAGGAATACATATAACAAAAAAATCCAAAAGCTAAAACAGAGCTGTATAAGAAATATTTTATATATTTAGGATCTGTTTTATGGAATAATTTACCAATATCACTGTAAAAATCAACTTCTGGTACATGTTCATTCAAAAAAGATTTTAAAAGTTACTTTTTGGAACATTGAACGTAAAAAAAAACTGTGTAATTTCATAAGCATAATCACTTTTCAAACACTTAATTAAATTTTAAATATTGCTGAGGTAATTTGAATGATGCCAATACTATATGAATTCACTATTTTTACCTGTTTTGAAAATTGTATATATCATAACAAAAATTTATTAGATTTTTCTTATCTTATCTCTGGTTTGTTTTGTAATTCTTTATCTGCTATATTTCAATGTTTTTCATGAGGATTATTTTGAAATTCTTTGTTTGTTATATTTCAATGTTTTCATGAGGGTAGTCGTGATGGTGTTCCAATATAGTGCAAAATGCAAGAACTTATTTTTGATGTCATTCAACTGAAACAAAAGCTACTAACTTTACAAATAATCACAATTATCAACGATACCTGATTTATGACTTATATCTGTATCACAGATGACCACACACATGTTCTAATTGTCAAAGCCCTGTCTGGTTCTTTTTATATCGATTGTGATACTTATAATCGAATTGGTACTTGCCATTAGTTACACAACGGGTGCCATATGTGAATCAGGATTTTCCCATTCAAATCATCTGAAATCCCCGCGTTTTGTTTTTTTTTTTTTATTTTTTTTTTATTTGGTTTGGTTTGCCCCGTCTTCAGAATTATATGTAATGTTTTATACACTTTTTTCGATTTTCGTTTTTGTTTTCAGTCGCGGCGCTGTCGCCTTAGCTTCGATTGCTGATTTTGTATTGTACTTTGGTAACTTCAGCCTCATTTCGTGCATGTCGCGCGTTTCATCTACTTAAGACTTATCAATAGAACTCGAGAAAAAATCATTTAAAAGGCCAAATCAATGACAAAGTTACAGAGGACATCAACGAATATATAATGTTTACAGCATATTACAATTCTGTTGTTACTAGAACACCATTGTAGAGAAGATGAAATCTACCTGTTTGATACTATCTAATTTTGAAAGGAAATAGAACTAAATAAACTTAAGTTTACGAGCATATAAAAAATTCCATATATGATTTTTGACTGAATTGAAAAACTTTTCAACGATTGGATCATTAAAGCGTATAAGACATCGCCCAGTATAATATGACCTAACATTGAAATTGAACACAATTTCCCTATTTATTAAACAACACTAATATGATCTATGTTTTAAGTTAATTTGTAAGATTGTCTTCAGTTATGTCTCATGTTTCGTTTATATAGATATTAATCAGACACTCCTTTTTCTTTGTTCAATGAAAAATGGAATTCCACGACGTACACGGAATATTTTATGTTAGTGTTTTTAATGAATATGTAATCTGGAAGAAAAGGTCATTTAGATAAAGTTTGGTTTAGATATATGCCATTGACAGTTTCAGTTTTAAAAATAAGTGTTCACATAGGAACAAGATAAATAAGAAAAGTTGAATTTCAAATTTAATTGTATTCTACAATACAATTCATATTTAGAATTGGATTTTGATAAGTGGAACTGGTCCACTTTTGGTAGGGAATATTCAAATATAAACTCATGGAAATATTCAGTTCAAGTCAATATGAGTTTTCATACATTTTTTTATGTATTTAACAAAGGCGAATATTGTACGATCAAGAAGACAAATCAATAACACGAGTATGATGTACGGCTTACGTGCACAATCAAAGGAAGAGGCAGCTAAACAGATATATAAATAAACAAATATATAAAAAAAATTTAAATGCAACTTGTGATACAAGCCTGAATCGTCCTATATCCAATCTCTTGAGGAAACATATATTTTATGAAGATGTAAAACTGAACAAGCAAGACTGTCATTGATATAATTATGGAATAGATTCTAGAGTAACAACAACATGAACAAGCATTGATGAGTATACCATAATTTAAAAATAACTTACCCTATACTTTCAACGATTCATTCTATTGAGAAATAAATTTCCAGAGATAAGTTCTCCTTAGAAGAAACAAACACACATATCTTCTGCTAATCATTTTGAAATGTACTATTTTGATATGTTCTACACCAACAGTGATTCGCGATCCTTCACACACATCAGAAATTTTGAAAAGATCTCCATTTGAATCAGGTGGTATTTGATGTGTATGCTATTTATATATAAATTTTTTAAGTAACATGAACACAACATTTTAAAAAATCTATTTAAATAAGTTTGTAGTGCAATATAACCGACTACATGTTTCAAAGTTGTTGGTGCACCGAAGCGTTTAAAATACAATAAATGTTGAAGATAGGCCAGCGTAAACTGAAACGTTGAAAAAATCCTAGTAACAATAGACTTGTTACATAGTACATACATGTAAGTCAATACACTGAAACTACTTTGCAAAAATAAAATATCCTTTTACAGTAAGAATCGCATAAATACGTTGAATTATAACTTAAAAAATAGAATGTACGTAATACATAAAGCATTTCAAAGGATAAAAAACAATTCAGAAAATATGTGAATGTGAACATTTGTTTTGCTATATGAAGGGTAACCGTCAAACCAAAGTATTAATTATTTTATGGTAAATTGCAGCAAATTGATAGCACACAAAAAACCAGCAAATTGGTCCAATGTCTATTTTCCTGGAGTTGTTTTCAACTGAAAGTCAACACAACACCCCCTTTCTGGTATTTCTAACTGAAAATCGTTATCAACATTGACGATTTATTTTTAAGTAAAATCATCAAAAAGTTTTTACTTCTTTAACTTTGAAAAACTTCAGAAAAACGTGCTTTATACATTATTGCTCACAACACACATACAAATCAACCATACTGAGTTTCTTAAAAAATCTCACAACGTATATGTAGGACTCTAAAGTGCGATGGTGACGCTAAAGTACGATGGTCACGCTAAAGTGCGATAGTCTGCGCTAAAGTGTGATGCCTCCATACGCTAAAGTCCGATGGTCCGCGAAAGTATATTTTTTATGTCATTTATGAAACCTTCCTGGAAAAGACCATGTATGATTGAAATGTTATTGAACAACTAATGCTTAATCCTATCACAATCGTATAAGGGAGCTACCATTTGATTTTTATGGGGGGGGGGGGGGGGGGCTAGGATGAAAAATTTTGTCCTGCCTTTTTTATTTTTCCCTCTATTCGGTCCTGCCTTTTTATTTTTCACTCTATTTGGTCCTGCCTTTTTTTTTTAGTTTATCCTGACTTTTTTTTTTACATAAATTGTCATCCTGCCTTTTTTTTTTTGGCAAATAATCTCATCCTGCCTTTTTTTTTACTCAAAATGATCTAACTTAAAATAGTCTTAGTGAATAACATATTTTCAAAAACTGAATATTTCAATACAAAATGCTATCTTCGTAATTTTTTTCTATACTAGCGATTAAAGGTTTACCAAGGTTATGCGTTGAATAGATTTGAATATCTTTGTTTACAAGATCATTGTCCAGATTGTTGACTTTCAAATAAAAATAATTATATTTTATTTCATTCAATCTTTAAATAAAATGTAGTACATAAGGTTACTATATTAACGTTGCACTGCATAATAGAACTTTAATAAGATAAGTTAAATTTAAAATTAAAAAACAAAATTAGAAAATGTCATACGGTGGTAGAGAGTCAATTTGACAAGATTTCTGTATAGTTAGAATGCAAAAAAAAATAGATCAAGGATTTGCATTGTAAATAAGATTTAAAAGGTTTTAAAATGTCTTTTTAAAAGAAAATCATTGTCAAGCTTGTTGACTGAAATGTATTATATGTGTTTAGCACACTATTAAAATAATACATGGAAGTGTAATGGTATGTTATTTGGGTCTTATATTTTAGCAAAACAAGGTTTTATTGTTATAAGGACATATATGTTTTGTAATTTTTAAAATATTCAATTGATCTTATTTAAAAGGTTTTTTTTTCTCTCTACATTGGCAGTATTCGACATGTCACAGTTTGTCCTTTTTGTTATATCAAAAATGCACTAAACACCAAATCTTTAACAAGACAAAATAAATTTAGTTTAAATTTTTCTATGAGACAACGAAATGTTCTAACGCAGTTTAAAGCCAATTTGACACGGATTCAAAAACAAAAATTGATGTATATAAGAAACTCGAATTTCATTCATTGTTCATTACAGGAAAAGTTGTCATCATAATTTTCATACAGGAAGATATTCCAAAAGCACACGTTTTAAGCATATCTGGCGTTTCATTAGACCGTGTTTTTCTTCCCTATTTGAATTGTTTTACACTTATCATTTAAGGGTGTGTTATAGCTTACTGTTCGGTGTGAGTCAAGGCTCCATGTTGAAGGCCGTACTTTGACCTACAATTGTAACTGTTTATTTATTGTGACTTGCATAGTTTTTTCGTTTGAATTGTTTTACATTTGTCAGTTCGAGGCATTAAATAGCTAGCTATTCGGTATAGGTATTTCTCATTGTTGAAGGCCTTACGATGACCTATAATTGTTAATTTCTGTGTCATGAGGCCTCTTGCGGATATATATAGTTGTCCCATCTTTTTATTGTTATATTATGACCATGGCCAGTGTTCTTCAAAAGGCCTTTGTCAGGTACAATGTGACACATGTTTCCGTAATGGCTTTAATCTAAGATGACACATGTTCCTGAACTAGCTTTTATTCTGTATACTTAATAAGATGACTTATGTTCCTGGAATAGCTTTAAAGGTTACATGTATATTTTGGAGAACAACTGTTCCCTGAATGTCTTTCATCAGTAATGATTGACACGTGTTCCCGGTAGCGCAAATATCAGACAGTGCGGGCTGGTACAACTTCTCCGACGAGTTGACAGTCCGTCACGTCCGTCACTACTAGACAGTAAGGGCTGGTAAAATTTGTCCTCCAAGTGAAACAATATGTCACTACCAGACAGTGCGGCCTGGTACAACTTGTCCTCCGAGTTGGACAATATGTCACTTCCAGACAGTGCGGGTTGGTACAGCCTGTACCCAGTACAAAGTGTCCTCCGATATTATAGCTCTATTTGCACTTAATATTACCACCGTATCTGTTGATTAATGAACATTGACAGCTCATTGACAGTCAACTGACATCCCCGAGTGCCGTTTCTCATTCTCTTATATATACCCGTGGTCGAATACATTATTTCCTTAGGAGGGGTGTTCTCCAAATCATCGGTTCCCCTTACGAAGCATAGAGAATCCATTACGAACAACTCTATAACCTTCGACCCGGCCACTAAATTTCCCGCCAAACGTCCAAATCTGCATAACGCTTTCTCAAGCGTTAATCATGTATTGCTACAATAAGATTCTTCTTATTTGTAACTATAGCCATCAATAAATATTACACATCTATCAAATGTCACAGAAATATGCATTGTTAAATACTGATTCATGATAAACCCGGATTTAAAAAGCAAATAAAATCACTTAAAGGCAGTGATATGTACATTATTTCTTACATTTGATTCATAATTTTGACATTAGACATTTGTGAAACCACTTAATAATTGTCATTTTATTTTAGGCATAGAGACACAACATTAACAGATGCAGCAGATATTTGATGTATATTTCTTAAATTTATTTCTATCAGAGGTTTTCAAATCGAATAAAATACAAATGAAATAGAAATGGATAGTGTCACGATGCTATGTTTTTACTTTGAACTGTTTTTTTTTATTGCCTTCTTGGTCCCTTCTCGGTGGGGCCACTACGATACTTAATTGATAGGCGGTGCCGCTGGGGTTCTGTTGCCCCACCCTTTTCATATAATTTAGATTTAAAAAAATGTATACCTTTTCATATATTGCGTCTGTAAAAACGTTAACTTTTCCCAAATTGTCTGGGTTTCGTAGTGTGTAATGTAAGAGTGGAATATCAAAGTGTCAAATTGTTGATAAAAACACAGCCGGAAACACCAAGAACGATGACAGACGAAGAGGTTATGGGAACTTTATTGACCTTATCATATATTTTTGATAGTTTTCCCGACCTCTTCACATAGTTTAAAGCTTGAAAAGGTGACCTATTCCAGCGGCACGTGCTATCACCGGTATATAGGAAGTCCCCCCCCCCCCCCCGAGGGTCCCTGTCCTACATGAAGAAACTGCAAAACGGATGCTGCATCTTCCTCTCAACTTGCACCAATACAAGTATGTACCAACCAATGAAAGTCAAGGAGAGGTCTAAAGAAATGTGAACGAATGAATAAAACAGTTGAAAGGCAATTGCAAATATTTCATCCAATGAAAAATAAGGGAGAGATAATTGTTAAAATCAATAATTCAACAATTAAAATAAGGGAACGGTAACTGTTAATTATTCTATTCTTCTAATATTTTGGTCCTATTTTTTCTATTCTGTATATGTTTGCCTATTAATCTCTTTTCTGTAAGCCCCATTCGTTGTCGCCTATTGACCCATTTGTTTCTGTATTTGAAGGATTTATTTTGACTAAGATATTTCCAAGGTGAATGGATTAATCTCCCTTGAAAGTTATTATAAAGAAAGTATACTGAATATCATATTAATACCCTTTGTACATGTCATTGGGTTTTGCATTCATGAAATCAAATTGTCTCTCACTTGAAGATGCCAAAAAATGTTATCTTTGTTGTACTGTCCATTGAATGCAATACCATTGTAAAGCAGCGAACTGCTATGACCTTTGTATTACAGTTGTGTCGCAAAAATTTAATACCATTATAGGCATAGAGAATTCCAACCTTCACCCACCCTTGAGGAAACTTAATGCCTAATTTTATATACATGTAACAAAAACATATTCAAGTTTTGCAATAAACTGCGTCTCAAAGCATTTCAATAAAAAGTAACTAGTCAACGTATAACATCAAGATCTGTGATAGTGAGAGTGGCTAGGGCGTTGGCTGTCATTCATCTTAATTCAGTAGAACTGAGTTATGTACCTTGATAATTATGCTTATCAAATGACACTGGATAATGTGTTAGTTTTTTACATCCTGTAGGATTTTAATTTGTGGAATAGCATTGATTCTTACTTATAAATGCTGTCATATATGAAAAGCAATGGTATTGTCAATTGGAAGATGTACGATTTGTTAAACAGGTAACTACTACAAATGTTTTGTATGACAATTATATAACAAACTTATAGATTTTGAATAGAGCGTATGAGAAAGAGACAGCAACCAACAACAACATAAGTGGCCGTAAAGATAAAAAA